GACGAACAAAGATATAATTAATATATGTCAAAGCCAGAAGTACTTGAAACATGTTAAATTTAAGTTTAAAGCATGAATTATGATTGTGTAGATTAGAGATTTCAGTTATTTATTAAATAAACTTCAATTAGAGAATTCAGAAAGTTAATTAACATAAGAGATAGGACGCGGGGGGTCCGCTTAGGGAGGCGACTAGCCTTTGAAGTTGTATAATAAATCTTCCTATTTAGTGTATTTGTTAATTACAGGCAATGTTAATAGCGAAAGTCATATCTTCAACCAGACGCTTACGAACAAGTAAAGTTTTAGGAAAGATGTGTTAAATATGTTGATGGGTTTGAAATAAGAATTAGGATTGTTGTGTTTTAGGTAAGGTATGATGTGTCAACAAAACCCTTTTGAGCAAATTTTCAGACATCAAAGTGATCGAGTGATTTATTGAAAGACATTGCGTTGCGAAAATTGACAAGTCATACATCTAACATAGTAGTAGTAGTAGTAGCAGTGTCGCATAATCTTATCACAATTGCTGCAAATAGTGCTGGAGGGGCCGGCAGGACTGAATACGGATTAAAACTAACATAACTACTAACACTAAAATGATCCCGGAACTAACACTTATCCATTGCACTTTTAGTTATATATTAGTTTTATTTTTCTACTAAGCCATCTATGCTTCTTTCTTTCTATTGTTTGGATCAAGTACAACTAATACTAATCTACCTTTATGTATGTTTTACTCCCTTTTAACCCATTATCTTTATGAATGGCGAATCATATGACGTGAGACACGGGGATTTCAATTGACTAAGGAGAAGGAAAAGAATAACTTCGAAAAGGATATCAAACAAATTCAGGACCAATCCAAATGAGACCAGAAATCAACAAGGCATCGGGGCGTTATATACTCGGTGAGGTATTTGATAAATAATCAAAAAGTGGTAAGTTAAATCAAAGTGGAGCCAAGGATCATGAGAGGTAATTGTCTATAATTCATTAATTAGTAGAAATCTCGATAACTTTTTCAAGGGAGCGTATCGGCTTTTGTAGGCGGTGCGTTTGGTCGTCGATTTGGCGTAGCTGGTGGCTCGCCCACGTATGCTAGCACTATCATCAGATAGGGAAATTTTCCTCTACCTGGTAGTGGTGTTGGTAGGCGTGCGCGAGCTGCCGGTTGCGCCGGGTGGACGATCGGATGCATTGTTTGCAGGAGCTGGTGCTTCCCTTTGAAAAAGTAATCGAGAAACAACCATATTATCCTGTAATTGACAACAAGACAAGTGGGGGTTAATACACAAGACAAAATGACAAAATAAGTGACGACAGAAGACAAGACTGGGACAAAAATCAACCTTTAAAAAAAGAATGCGCAATTATATTATCAAAACTATTTGGATCAGCACAAAAACAACAGTGACCATACGGGCACCATAGCCTAGGAACGTCTGTGTGTTGATTTAAAATAGAGGCTCATAGAAGCAAAATTTGTGTAGAGTTTTAGCAAGTTGCTGCCACTGGATCACTACAAAAAAAAAAAAAAAAAAGATTTTAAATTGCTTAATATATTGCATATTCATGGTTGATAATTGGTTCTCATCTTTTATTTATTGTTTCGTTGATTCCCTTTAGTGTAGAAACGTTATGCCTTGATGACGCTTGGTGCAGTAACTAACTTTTTAAATTGGCATATCGTTACTGCAACTTCACTCTTCATAGACTTCTCTGACACCGTTGGTATTAATGAGTAAAAAAAAACCCGCTGTCGGGTCAGACACTTTGACAGTTCATTTTGTGGTTAAAAAAATAAACAAAATCGTTTTTACACTGTTAGACTAGCACAATTGTGTTAGTGAGATCTCGCGGCAAGAAGTCTATGTCATCCAATGACGTTTATATAAGGTTCGGACCAATAGGCAGCTTGCTGATGTTAGAAGCAAAAATATTGTAAGTAATCTCCCTCCCCATACTACCGATGGTTTATGTCTTGTCAGCTAGGGACATGGCCCCCTCCAACCCACCATGGTAGTTACGCCTCTGCGAATGATGGAAGTGGAAGGTTTATGTAGGGTGGGAATAGGGAAATAGAGATGTTCAAAAGGGAGGAGGATTCTAAGGTCATTCAATTCTGTATTTTAGATTTTAATTTCAATTCAATAAATCAAACAAAACTAGTCAGTAAACACTTCCCCTACTCGATGGATGTGTTGTTTTGTGTAGGCGGGCCTTGAATTCCTAGAAATCAACGAGAGAAGTCATTGTTTACAAAGGCTGTTACGCCCTAATTCCACACACTTAGATTTTTTTTGCCGAGATGGGCACCACCGAGCAGCTCGGCATTTTATTTGGCTGGAAATTCAGCAAAAAATATGTTTGTTAACTGAGATCTCGGCAAAATTCCCGCTGAATCTCGGCAAGTTTTTCACTGAGATCCAGGAAAATAAAATGCCGAGCTGCTCAGTGGTGCCCATCTCGGCGAAAAAATCTAAGTGTGCTGCTCTATCTAGATTTATCCTAGCCACGAACACGCGTACAAAATTTATGAGTTGGTTCGTGTCTAATCTATTTTGGACAAAATATTTTTATCTAGATAAAACATTTCTATGCTTTTGACGGATGGGCTCGCTGCACATTTGAATCGGCCGTTATGGATTCTCGATCAAGAGCTAAGTTTAAGTTTCATGTCGGTTTGTCAGTGACGGTATGTCTACGCATCCTTCCACCACCCCTGTAGATTCACGAAATGCATCACTGTTTGAATATATACTTATTTAAACTCGAATCATTTCACAGACTCATCTTTGTGGCAAATGCAACGAAATACACTCTTAGCAACATTTACTGCATTCGGTAATTTTTTACCGAACTTTCAACAGCTGAACTGTTCGGTAAAAAACAAGCATTTTAGTTCATTAGTTAAAGTTAAAGTTAAAAATTATTACCGACTTCGGTAATTTTTAATCGAACTGTCAGCAGCTGAACGTTCTCCAAAACTTTGACCGTTATTCCAAAAACTGTTTCACTGAATATTAATTCCAAAACACTGTCAATCATGTTTTATTAATCGAACTTATATATTATCGTTTCAGTTGAAAACCGGAAAATCCCACACGCGCCAATTGAATTTACTCTCGTTCTGTACGTTAAACATAACGTCGGACATAGTGCGCTGTATTCGCACAATTATGCGCTATTCAGCGCACTATGTCCGACGTTATGTTTAACGTACAGAACGAGGGTAAAATCGAATGTCGCCTGTGGGTTTTCCGGTTTTCAACTGAAACGATAATATATAAGTTCGATTAATAAAACATGATTGGCTGAGTTTTGGAATTCATATTAAGTGAAACAGCTTTTGGAAAAACGGTCAAAGTTTTGCCGAACATTCAGCTGTTGAAAGTTCGGTAAAAAATTACCGAAGCGGTAGTAATTTTTAAGTGTGTAGGCCTGCTTGTTTTGATGGTTGTGTCAAATCTCAGATATGCTGCAAACACCAATGTTGACAAGAAAAATGATTAGGCGTTATCTAACCTAATCATTTTCCAGGATGCTTTCTCGTACTGTCTGCGTTTATATTAGATTAGAGTAGAACTTAAAATTGTTGGCTGCTCTCCAACACTCGTTGCATATTGATCTCGGAAACTGTTACCGAAATCTGCAAACATGGTTCCAAGTTTTCGTCTGACAAAGATGAACGAGAATAGAACAACCCGTGGGCCGGATGTGAAAACTTTTTCTGGCTAGACAATGTTGCTATTCATATTCCAGCACCATCCAAACCCCCTCCGGGATGAGTTGAACCTAAATAATATCTGATAATAAATAACCATCCTAACCCCCAACGGCCGACCACGCGTCTCCATAACGTCGTTCGCTTCTGGTGCATGCTCATGGTAGCACAGTAATGACTTCAGAAATGCCACCGAGCTTTGACCCATCGCCCACTGAACGTGGACGTCCGTTAACTGCAACACTATGTCCATTATTCCATCTGCCCAACTAGGTTCGCGTCATCACCCTCGAATGGGCACCAACTACGTGTCATTTCCAGTTAATGTTACCACTATGCTTACAATGAAGCTATAGGCTCTAGGGACATTAGATAGAGCTTCTATGGTGGTATAATTTGCAACGTAATGATAGCTAGACACCAACCACCCCACCCGTTCACAATCGAGAATTGGGTGGTGCACCCATTAACGAACAAAGTGTAATCCCGAAATGTGGAACAAGGGTGAGGGGGTTGGAAACCAGTTCAGTGTCAATGGCAACAGGTACCTATGTGTTTTTGAACTTACAGGAACATTCCATCGCAGTAGACGGTGGCAAATCTGACGAGCGGTCCATTCATACTTTGCTGCGATGAGAGTGTGGTGTGGTGGTGGAGCGCATGATCGGCGAATGAATCCTTCGAAGGAGCCCGTTGGTGAACTCACCAAATTCACCACAACCGGTTTCACTTTCGCTGGAAACGTGCTTGGGGAATGGATTTTGAACTTGGCCAGTCGGTACCGGTCTTCAGTCGTACGGTGGGTTTAATCACGATAGTACAAGTCCAGAGTCTCGGGTGGTCGGCAGGGCTAAAAAGACGGGCAGGTGAAGCTTTAAGATTACAGTGGATTCCGTTCCGGAGCAATGTGTGAAGACGGTGGAGGAAGAAGCAACACAGCTGAATGGGCAATTTGAGGATGGTTCTGGCAAGTGGCAGTGATTTAAGATCGTTTGAATTCGAAGCAGTAGTTCAAGTGTGTCAAGTCAAGATTCCTTGGTGGAAATGGAAGCTTGCCAAGTGATTACAAGGAAGAAGATTTATGTCCTTACGTTGGTGTGATTCTGAAGGATAAGCTTGTGAACAACAAGTTGTTTGTTAAGTGTGAGTGTTGAGTGTTGGGTTGCTTTTTCGGTTCCGGAGGAGTAGCGTGCATTGTTAGTGAGAGGATTGAAGAAGGATACTGGAGAAAAAAAATTGTTTCGGATGTACCTTTCGGCAGGATTGCGCAAAATTATGGATAATCCCCACGCCGCTCAGCAGCAGCAACAGGGCCAGGATGATCAGCTATTATCAGAACCGAACCATACCAGTGTGAGTCCCATGGGGGGAAGTGAGGCGGCAGTTGTGGCGTTTGCCAGCTCTTCGAATGGAGCAGCCGGAGCGGGAGAAGCATTCTACCGAGGCTTGGCGGCGCTGACGGGCAATGCCAGCGGGATTAACGGATTAGACGGAACCAATAGCACCGAGACGGGAATTTCTGCACCAGGTGGGTAGACGTTGGGACAGGGTTCGCATGCCCGATTGTTAACACAAATTGCTCATTTGTTAACTACTCCGCACTCCCTTGACGAAACATGTTTTTTCTTCAAGACTTAGTTTGAGGTTTGATAGGTACGTAAAACACAGTAGATTTGTATGTAGGCGAAAAGTTGTTCTCATTTGTGCGTCACAAAAACGGAAAGAGAAATAATCGCTGCTCATTTAGGACTTTCAATGAATAAACCCATTGTTGTAATTTAACTACTCTATGCGTGTCTACAGTGAACTCTGATCCTAATCTATCAATTGATTAAAGTAAGGCCATCTTGCATCAACTGAATACAAAGATATTAAAAAGAGCAATTTGTGTAATACAAATGAGATTACTAACCCAGACACTGGGGGTTGTTGATTGTTAGATTGCCGTTTGCATGGGAATTACATTCTGAGCGAATGCCGTGTAGGAGTTGGTTTTGTGTAACATTATATTACGGATGATTATCCTCTTTTTTGTTTGGAAGCCACTCCCTATTTCCATCGGTACCTAAATCATACATTAAGTTACATGGATGATGTAGCATAACGCAACATTGATGGCAGGATTTGCTTATATTCTACGAGAAATGTAATGGTGATTCTTATAACAGCATGTAGTGAACAAGCAACTTAATAAGCGTTTTTTTTTCTAGGTTAAATAGGCGGGATAAAGACTGTACTCGAAAAAAAATGCAACAGTTAGAAATGATCACCACAAATTCATTTTAAGTTGGATATTTTTGTAATTCTCAGAGAATAAATAAACACATTAGGTATGTTTCTTGCAAAGTTGGTTTATTCAACCTCCTCTACTAGGCTAAAGGCCCGCACTTTGGACTTACGCTATCCATCAAATCCTGTGTAACACTTGCGCCATCTTTCTTACACACTTTCATCCACTCTTTCTTTAAAACCTTGTCGTTTTTAAAGACCTTCCCTGTTTTCTGGAGCTTGCGGAGCGATTATGAAGGGCCCAGAATTTTTCTATTGGACGAAGTTCTGGCGAGTTTGGCGGATTTGCCTCCTCCGGCTCAAAAACAACATCGTTGGCTTCGTAACACTCCAAAACTGGTTTCGCGTAATGGCACGATGCCAGTACCGGCCAAAAATCCGGTTTTGAGATAATATTATTGGTATCCTACCTTAAAGCGAACCCTACACGATTGCTTTTATTGACAATAATCGTATTGTCAATACATTCTATATTGACGTCAATACATCGATATTGACAATATGTTTGTATACACATCATCAATATTATTGTCAATAATTCCCCTTCGTGTCAATATATTGATACGTGTGGGGTTTGCTTTATCTCAGGCTCATCAATATCATATTAAGGTTTCCAGTTATGGTAATATGATACTTGAATGTGGTATTCATAAGCTATTTTCTACTGCTCGGTGACAGCGAGTCACTTTACCTCACACCTCACGCAGAATAGGCCTATAAGTGAAAGGTAAGCACAATGATTCCTAAGATAAATGCTAAGATGAAACAGCCGGGACAAAAAACTTTTTATTTTAGTGTCCTTTTTCACGGTCCCTTTCATCTAATGAATACTTCCGGTAACAAGAAGTTTTTGTTTCAAATCAGTGATGTTTGATATTTTTTATTACTCGATTACACCCAACCCTTTTTACGAGGTCTTATTTTCCTTTTTCCGATGTTCAACTAAAACCAAGCTTGATTCAACTGGTGTCGAAAAATCAAAGGAAAATATGGTTATTACCTATAGACCTTTTCTAAGTTCACCACATAAAAGGAAAATTCGAGAAATGTATCCGCGTATGAAAAGGGTTGGATGCAATAACTAATCCAGTAACTAATCGATTTTTTTTCCACTGCAGGATATGTTTGAAACGATGGGTGGTAATCCTCTGGAGAAGTTAATGCTTACTTGTCATGATATCTTGGGTCCTTTTTGATTAGGTCGTATGAAACATTTTTGCAAATTAGAAAAAGGAGGCGTTTTGTTGTGGTGAACAAAAAATTGTTTCTTTTTTCAATAAGGCATTTTCTACATAGTGTATCAAAAAAGCATTGTTGTACCCGGTTTATATAGTTCTCTTCAGAATAGCAATTGTTAAGCATTGAAGAACTTGAACATTGAAGAACATGTGATTCGGCCTTCTCCGATTTGCAGGAAACTTTGCATAATTCAGAGTTGGTTGGAAATGCTATCTAACATGAAGCTTTGGTGTGATACCCAAGCAACAATTTTGTTTTATTGAAGTTTTATAGCAGTTGATATAACCAAATTATAAAACCTTCACTGACGACCACATTGCTCTAACAACCTCCTGAGAACCGCTATACAGCCATGTCATGGCCAATTGGCCCAGTTTTAATGCAATCATTAAAACTTGATATGCGAACTACCTTGGAGCATAGGTTTTAGGTCAGTTTTATCACACTCTACACGTGGTTGTTAAAAATAAAAACATTAAACCTCCTCCCGGTCAGAAAGTTTTAACAACCTTTTATAGACTACCATAAAACTATATTACAACCGCATAAATCGCTCCTGAAGAAAATGATAAAACATGATACGCAAAACATTTTGACAACCTTGAAGGTTTTTTGGTTTGGGGTTGGGGTTTTTTGATGATAGTTAATATTGAGACATATTTTATTGTGGTTTTATTCCTTCGATGTTTGATGTGAAATCATGATCCTTGTCAATTGGTAATAATAGCTGATATTATTGCATATTGAAAATATGACGACTTTATTGTAATTTTAAACCAATTTGTATATGCATCACAGCATGTCATGCAATATTTATGGTGATTATTATACCAAATAGGAGCATAAATTTAGTACGCCATATGAATACTAAAATATAGGGATATTTTTAATTTGTCTGCATCAGCACCATGCATTAAAGATTCATTAGAAGATTATCTATTTAGTACAAAACTGTTACTACTGTTGAGCAATAACCAGTCACATATTATTTTAAAATACATAGATCTATGAAAGTGTTTTATCGCCTATCAGCGTAATTATTCATACTGTGTGAAATTTGTTTATACGGCGACATTTTTTCGTTATAACTTGCTACTCCTTAAAAATACCTCAATATAACATATTCTCCTAGATTGGAGTTCTATAGCATAACATAAACCTAATGGATGTATCTTAGCATTTCGTAGTCCAAATTGAGAGCATTAAGTTATATTTAAGCTCTATAACTAGTTTGCTGGTTTTATTCGATACAGCGAATCAAAACAAAACAAAAACCATGGCAACCTGTCAAACAGTCAACATTCCAAGCGATCCTCCTATTTTTTCTTGTAATCAAGATGTAAAAAATGCTTATTGGATCCACTAAAAGCTTTTTCAATACAAGGTTTAAAGCCGTGATGCCAATACTGGCCATCTCCAACCGGATTTACTGAAACTGTCTGCGTTGTCTTAAGAAGGGTTTGTGGATCTTTCGGAAGTGTATCGAAAAGCCGCTTGTTAATATTTTAAAGAGCTCCTTCACCGCACTGTGCCTTATCTTATATGAGGGAGCCCATAACTGTAGATCCTCCAGGAGTTTCATATTGGCGATCGTCTCATCTTCATCGTGCTCAAAAGCACTGAAGGGGTTTTCATTTCATGTATCTGAATAGATTTGTTTTTTTTTTATATTGGTGACAATTTTCTGAGTAATTTTTGTTATTTTTGTAGTATATTTCTTATCTGTGAATCTTAGGCCTCTGATAAAGATGAAAGTTGTAATGAGGCTTTAATGAATGTCTAAGACTGTTTCAAGTTTTATATCGGTCATAATTGTATGTTTTGTTTTGGTTTTATTCTACAGTTATATGTAGTGATACAGAACCTCCTTACAGCTACCGTTAAAACTATGAAGTCTGAGTTTTAATTTAGTAGTCATAAAACAGTTTTATAGACGACTTGACGGCCTGATTTTATGACAAGCACACAAAACCGTAATACAACCACAGGCTGCAAGGGATGCTATGATAAAACAATAATAAAATAAGGATAAATCTTCCAAGCATTTATATTGTTACTTGGGTAATTTATTAGCTAGAGAATGGTCTTAGAAGAGGGTAGGTAGATAGCTTCGTTAGAGTACGGCAGTATGAAAGTTGAATAGAAGTTGAAAATGAAGGGCCATTAATGCGACAGTACAAAGTCAAACGCACACTTCTTTGCCTAACCCGTACGATGTACGCGGAAATGTGAAGTATGTCTTCAAATCTACGGGCAAAAAAGAGCATTCTCTATAATATAATGAGAGAGAGAAGGATTAGTATTTTCCATTTAATTCCACTACTTAAAGTAGTGGAATTAAATGAAAAATACTAATCCTTCTCTCTCTCATTATACAGGTATTCCACTAAGACGCCCACATTCATCAGGAGCATTCTCTAGATAATAAGTTATCACACCAAAACTTCATATTAAATAGCATTTCCAACCAACTCTGAAAATCGCAAGCTTCGCGTATGAAGTAACATAAAAACACTTTGAATGTTTGCATAATTGTTTATTATGAGCAATCATTAATATTTGTGCTAAAATTAGGCAATTTTAAATTATTTTTTTTCCAAAATGTCGTACACTTTTAAATAAATTGTAGCATGAAAACCTAACTTCTAATCTAAATTACGTCTGAGACAAAGTTGTACAGGAATTAAAGTCTTCCTTGATTTTTTTTTTATTATTTTGAGTTAACATTTAAAAAAGTGTTGAAAACTTAAAAAACTCAAAATGTCTTTTTTCAATATTTATAAATAAAAAAATACCAAACAGTTCATGTTCTACGATTTTGGTGAATTCTAAGGGTCCAAGGTTTAAAATAATTCATTTTGTATAAACTTTAAAAAAAATATAAATGTTGTGCAAGGACAGTTTGGGTTATTTAAGTTTTTATATTTTTATATTTTTTACTATAAATTACTAAACAAATTACTGTGTACATAAAGAGAGAGAGAGAGAGAGAGAGAAGGA